ATAATATGCATAATAAGGTGCGTTTTTTTGTGCTGTAAGAGGGAGACTACATTTTGCTGACTCATATAAATGCGTCTCCTCAAAAGAAGTGAAGGATGGTATTCATCTGGAAGCATATTTATCAGTATACAGGCTGGTTATGTTCCTGTCAACTTGACAGAAACTAGGGACATCTGAAAAGGAGGACCTTTAGTTGAAATAATGCCTCCATTTGATTGGCTTATGGGAAAGTCTGGGGGGCATTTTCTTATTTAATAATTGATGTGGGAGGGTTCATTCCACTGTGGGTGGTACCATTCTTTTTTCTTCTTCTTTTTTTTTTTTTTTTTTTTTTTTTTTGGTTTTTACGAGAGAGGGGTTCTCTCTATTGTTTTGGAGGCTGTCAGTCCAGCCCGGCCTCGAACTCACAGAGATCCATCTGCCTCTGCCTCCCGAGTGCTGGGATTAAAGGCATGTGTCACCACCGCCCTGCCATTCTTAAGCAGGTGGTTCTGGGTGGTATAAGAAAGTATCTTGAGCAAGGCATGAGGAGCAAGCAGGTAATCAGTGTTCTTCACTACAGCTGCTGCCTCCAGATGCCGGTATGAGTTCCTACCCTCACTTCCATGACTGTAATGTGGAGGTGTAAGCAAAATAAACCCTTTCCTTCATAATTTACTTTTGGTCATAATCTTTATCACAGCAATAGAAAGCAACCTAAGGCAACAGGTTAGTAAATGATGGGGACAGGAGTGACTAGAGAGTCATAGGAACTTCTGTTGTACTCCATAATATGTTCATCCTTTAAAATACGGAATAAAATTGAAAATAACTTTGTGGAAGGTGAACATTTTCACATCTGCAGAGTTTTGTGGTCCAGAGTCTCCTGTCTAGGAAGATAGCACCAGAAAGGCTGTGTCCCTTGTAGGAACATGAATTTGCCTTATCTTTCTTTCACTAGTTGGGAAAATTCAGGGTGAAATAACTCATAGGGGTCATCAGAGCAAAAACAAGAGGTCCAGTGGATGTGGGAATAGTCGGGGTTCATTCTGGCGTGGTTTATTCAGAGGTGAGTCCCTATAAGTAGTGTCATCACAGGCAGAGGCTACACCTCGGAAGAGAATTTCTTCCTTTTATTATGAGTAGAATATTTTGGCTCCTCCTAGAGAAAACACATTCTTAAGAGCTTGTAGCAATCAGAACATTTGCATTACATTTAATTCTAGGTTAAAATATGAAATGTACAGTGCCCAAAGTAATAAGTTAAATTATCTGCTTCTACGAACAACTTTCAAGTCAACACAGTTGCTACAACCATCAAGTTCAAGAAGTGTAACCACCATGTCCTGAGTGGGTACCTCTTTATACGCCAATTGGATATCTGGACTGTTCCTGTAATAAGCATGCTTAATACTTAGTCCACTTTTTTACTGAGCTGTCTGTCTTTCACAGTTCTTCACTGAATTTGTGTATTATTGAAGAATCTGAATGATTACCTTTGGAAGTTCACCATGTAGCCAGAAGGCGTTTATGATATTTTGCACAATACTTCTATGTAATTAATCTGTTGGCAAAATGATCTATTAGAGAAACTGAGCCTGAGAATCTGCTCAGTGTACTGTCTACCTGCCAGCAGACTGATCGATGGATGTTGCTAATACCAGCAGTCAGCATTCACCAGACCCTTAGGACAGGTGGGGTCCTGGGCTCAACATTTCATGAGAGCTATTTGCTTCTTATATTAGTAATTTGTCTTGTAGCTGTGACAGATATTAGGGGAAAAAGCAACTTAAGGAAGGAAGGTTATTTTGGCTCACAGTTTGAGGAGATATGTAGTTTGGTGTGGGGGAGAAGGGATGGAGTCAGGAGTCTGAGGCAGATGGCCACACTGCATCCACGGTTAGGAAGCAGAAAGAGATGAACACTGGTGCTATGCTTGCTTCTTCCTTTTAATTCAGTCTTGGATCTCAGTCCATGGGATGGTGCCTCCGATATTCAGTCTGGGTCTTTCTTTCTCAGTGAAACCTTTCAGGAGAAACCCTCACACCTAGCGATGTGTTTCCATGATGACCTCAAATCTTGTCAAAGTCACAATTAAGATTAATCATCATGCTTGCTTCTTCCAACAGGTCTACTTGAAATAAGCCATCAGGTTGGAAGTCTTAGAGGAACTGACCTTTGATGATTAAAGTAAACAATGATAAGGCTGGGAGTTGATGGTCATTGAACTGGAGCCACCATGCTCATCTTAATTATCACAATGCCTCAAAACAAAGTTGCCATATGGCATCAACTTTGGCACTATTGTGTACTAAGGACAATCACTAGTTCTAAAAGAAGGGAATATAATTAAGTGCATAAGTAAGTATGTTAAAATTCAAATCTCTAGAAACCAAGCCTAATTCATTATAGAGGATACAGACACAGAAAATAACACTTAATGTGGAAACTGTGCCATGCATTTGAACTATGTTTGTGTTATAGTCAATGTGTGAATGAATGACAAATAGATTTTAAAACTTTGTATTAGACAATAAATGTGTTATATATCTTTTGAGTAAATAATCTCAGATGCTCATAACAAAGAGCCGTGTTTTTATTGTTTTGGGGGGAGACTATCTGTTCATTAACCATCAATTTGACAAAGCCCAGAATCATCCAAAAAGAGTCACAATCAAATAATTGTCTTTTCAGGTTGGGCTTCATTGTCTGTCTTCATTGTCTTAATTGACATGGAAGGGGCCGCCCCACTGTGGGAGCACCATTCTCTGGGCACATGATCCTGAGTTAATAAGAAAGCTGGCTAAGAAGGAGTCAAAAGTGTGGGCCAGCAAGCAGTGTTCCTCTGTGGTCTCTGCTTCACGCTTCTGCCTTGAGTTTCCTCAAGGATGGGCTGTGACCTAGACGTGAAGCCAAATCCACCCCATACTTCCCTAAGTTTCTTTTGGTCAGAGTGTTTTATTACAGTGACAAAATGAAATTAAAACAGTGACTATGGTAGAATAAACAGTGACAGCAAACCTACCCACACAACCCCTAATACCTCCTCTGAGTTCCCTAGACTAGGAAAGATGGCAACTCCAGTGAAATTGTGTTGAGTCTCAAAGGAAATTTCTAGTGATTAATAAACACAAGTCACCAAGATGTTCACAAGCAAGTCTCTAAGCATCACTGCTTATTGACTAAAACCCCACAGCTGTGTGGGAAGAGAAATCTATTTTGAGTTCAGCTTTAAATTTGTTTTAAGATAAAAGAACTTGTGGGCAGCTTGTAAGCAAGATAATAGGAAGTAGTTAGACTTTGAGGATATCATGAGAACGTAGGACAGACTCTGGTAGATGGAGATTTCTGAGTAATTTGTTTTGTTTTGCTTTTTAATGGGGAATTTAAACTCTGAGGTATTTTCCTTCCTGTCTGGAGGAAACCCTGGCTGGGTCATGTTCACAGGTCCCGCACAGTTAGTGGAGCCATGCTCTTTGTCCCAATGAGACCTTGTTCATGTATTGTTTCACCAGAAAGACTTACTTTATAGTGTCTTCTTACAGGGTGAGCATCTACCCTCCACTGCTTGATGGATTGGATCTCACTGTTGGTGTCTGGAGGGCCATGTCTCAATCTTATATACTGCTTCCTGGCAAGTCACACTTTGTGTAACACACACTCAGCAGAGTGGCTGTGTGACAGGCTTTGAACTCTCAGATCTAAGTGGCATGACAGATACCATGCTTCATCTTCACATTTAGTAAATTTAAAGGCCACACAATTACACTGTTATCCAGTGAATTTGGTCTATAAGTCTTATCTGACATTTAATAGCTTACAACATGAGATATGCATCATTTCCTCTGATAGTCATGACTCTTGTTTACAGGAAACAGTGTTTTATTTTCTTCCATTTTAGAACAGAGGAGATGCTGGGATCCTCACCTGTGGTCAGACAGCTCATGGCAAGTCATTATTAAAAACTCAGTCTTCTGTCTCTAACAACAGTATTGGTTTTTTTTTTCTTTTTGGTTTGAATACCAAGCCTGAAATTGGAGGATTACAGAGGGTTTTCCAAAAGACGCACTTGATCCAGGTGCTCTCAGTCCACGAAACAGATGCTTATATAAATTTCACATCACCATTCAACTGGGCAGAACAAGGTAAAGAATAAGTAATTTCAGTGTTGGCTCCAGGGCAAGAAGCATTAGGGAAAATTCCTGAGACATCTTGAAAAATCCTGTCTGTGGCCTGCCCTCCTCCTACAAAACAAGCAGGCTTGCTTGTGTGTGCTCTGCAACCCGTAGACACTAAAAAGCCTTCCACGCTTGCATCTGAACGGAGATGTCTCATCTCTCACGCTGTAAACTCCTGAAAGGATCTGGATTGATGCTTCCCTAGAGGCAGCATATGAGATAAAGGATTCAATGACAGAGACATTGTTTGGAGGAGGAAGAGAGGGAACAGAGAGTGGGACTGTGCTATGTAGGAAAGAGGGTAACCCATAACTTCTTTGCTATGGCACTGGCTACCGCCTGAGCAATGACCACCGAGCTTCATGAAGAAATCACAGTGTGAAACACACGCTGCAGAGGGATTTTATCAAAGGGGAGGAGAGCGGATTACTGTGGAGAGCTACTGGAGTAGAGACCTCCCATCTTCCAGTATGCTGTGTCTGACACAGTGACATGGAAGACAACAGATCCTGGCAGGGAAGCATCTTAGATAAAAGGTCCAACAGAGGTGGTGGGCACTCAAGGAGGTGGTGGGACACTGTTGTCTCAGGAACCTGTAATGGGAACTAGGTCTTAACATTCTTAATATGACTTTCACAGTATAGGGGTGGTGGGTACCATCCCCTATAATGATAGCTGTACCAACACTGTCAGAGCAGTGACTGTGAGAAAGGCAGGCAGACATGTGTACAGTCTCTACTGACAAAAGGACACAGAAGAAGGAAGAAGTCAGGGCGAGGAAGGCTCTGCATAGCACAACATGGCTTCCAAGCAGGTGCATGAGACTGGCAAATCTTTACTCACGCTTTCTCGTAAGTTCTGTCAGGATGCTCTGGCCACTCGATCATGCACACAACTCTGCTGGGCATGGTCTCTGTGGTGGAGTAGTAGCCCTGTGGGAAGGCCAGCAGGAGAGCCAGGACCCAGATGACAAAGATGACCACTTTGGTAGCAGTGGCCGACAGCCGGGGCTGGAGGGGGTGAATGATGGCCATGTATCTGCAGTAGAGAAGAAAGGACAACATTCTGTTACTATGCATTTTTCCTGACCATAAGAATTCCCAGAAACTCATTGTTTCCCAATTATTTGTGTTTGTTTATGGTTAGAGGCCAGAAGTCAACCCCCAGTGTCCTTCCTCAGAAGCCATCTATGTTGTCTTTTGAGGCAGTCTCTCACCGGACCCTGGGGCTTACCATAGGTTCAGCCAGCTGGTCATTAAACTCTGGGGATCTTCTTCACCCTGCCTTTCTTTTTTTATCATTTTTATTTTAATTTTTTTATTCGAAATAAGTCTGCTTTATTAATGTAAGCGACCACAGTTACAGATTTCCTTGGTAAATCTACATCCATATTCTGTTATATCATGTTTACATTTTCATTTAGAAGTTTTACATTTTCTCCCTGATTTCTTTTTTTAATTTTTTTTATTTTTTATCATTTTTATTTTAATTTTAAATAGCTTGTTTTACATGTCAATCCCAGTTCCCTCTCTCTCCCCTCCTCCCGCACTCCCCTTCCCCCCTCCCTCCCACCCTATTGCCAAATCCTTCCACATAGGGGATATCTAGAGTCTGTCATTTTACTCTTGGTAGGGTCAAGGCACTCCCCTAAGAGTCCAGGCTGAGAGAGCATCTCTCTTTGTGCTATAGGCACATGAAGACAGTTTGTATACCAGGGATAGACACTGATCCACAGCTCAGGGCCCCATAGGTTGCCCAGGCCTTCTCACTGACACTCACATTTGGGGGGTCCAGATCAGTCCCATGCTGGCCTCCCCACTGTCGGTCTGGGGTCCAAGAGCACTCCCCTGTTCAGATCAGCTGTCTCTGCTGGTTATGCCAGCCCATTCTTTGCCAATTTGCTCATCACTCCTCTCTCTCTGTCACTGGGTTCCTTGGGTTCAGTTCAGTGCTTAGTTGTGTGTTTGCCTCTGCTTCCATCAGTCACAGGATGAAGGCTCCCGGATGGTTATAGACATCAAGTTCATTATCAGGAATGGGCATTCGAGGTGGTCCCTCCACTATTGCTTAGCTTGCCAATTGATGTTATACCTTTAGATCACTCGAGGTCACTCTGGTGCCTGATCTGTCTTCGATCCTATGATTCCCTCTTCCCCCTATTCTACCCCCACCCCCTCAACTTCCTGTTCCCCCATGACAAACTCCCTTCCTCTTTACCCCCTCTATTCTTCCCAGGACCCACTCCCCCCACCCCTTGCCATGTTCCCCATCCATTCAGAGGATCTTGTCTCCATCCTCTTCTCTTGGGCACCCTGCCTTTCTGATGGTGGGATTACAAATGTGTACCACCATCCCTGCTACCCTAGGTCCAAGGGGATCAGAGGCAGGAGGGAAGCTTGCTGGCTTCCACCCTGGCCAAGATATGAGCTCTGGGTTCAGAGAAAGACCCTGCCTCAGTTCAATAGGTAGAGAGTGACAGAGAAGAACACTCATTCAATATGCGTATTTACACACACACACACACACACACACACACACACACACACACACACACACCACATAACTCAGGTCCTCACTGACTGAGCTATCTCTCCAGTAGCCCCTCCCAATGATTATTTACAAGACTTTTCTGCACTATTCTTTTATAGTCTGTCCTTAAACTCCAACTCATGACGTACAATATGAAAAGCCCACAAGGAAAGACAGATTTTTAGAAGAAAAATTGATAACCCATTTAGAAACATTCTAAGAGGTATTTTCATTTTTGGCATGCTTGGAGTACATACCCAACAGTCAAATACATTTTACGGGCTGAAAAATGGTCTGTTATAGTACTTTTAACATGAAGAGTTTTATCCTTGAGACTAGATGGCTTAGTGGTTTAGAGAGTGCGAACTGACCTTCCAGATGACCTGAGTTTGGGTCCCGGGACTTAAACTGGGTGGCTCACAACTGTTCGTCACTCCAGCTCCAAGGAGTCTGGTCTTTTGGGCAATTGTATTCATGTGCACCTCCACTCACACTTTACACACACACACACACACACACACTTAATTAAATAAAAATAAGTAGAAGAAATGGAATTTTGCTCTCCTTTCTCTCTTGGTGCCAGGGACTGATCCCAGGACCTCATTATTGCCAAGCAAGTGCTTTATCATTGAGCGACATCCCCAACCTTCTCTTTTATGCTGTTGGAATTAAGGGACAATGCTGGTAGGAATACATCTGGGCTCTGCAGAAGAGGGCTCAGTCTGCAGAATTCTGCTATGATGGCACCATGAGGTGACACAGTCTCGTGACCCTGCAGCCGTCTTAGCTTGTAGAAACACACAAATGCTTGATTAACGATGAAAACAGCCTGACAAAATGATGAAAAAGCCTGATACATTTTCAGACTGTGTCTTCCTTAAACAGAGTGTGATTTCAACGGTCTTAAGAGTCCTTATGTAGCATTATAAAAGCTTAGTAATGAGCTGGGGGTGTATCAAGAGCTCAGCTGGTGGAATGGAATCAGCTACCACCTGGGTGATTAGAGTGCAATTTCACGAGGACACCCTAGATACAGTGTAAAACACAAACCTCAGAGGGATTGCACCAGAGGGGAGGGGTCACCCAAGACCACTGGAAAACATAGATATCTATTTATGATTTGTAATAGTAACAAAGTTGTGGTTACTAAGTAGCAATGAAATAATAGTATGGTTCGGGGGTCATCACAACATGAGGAATGGATTTAAAGTGTCATAGCTCCAGGAAGGTTGAGAAACACTGGCTTAGAGGGTCAGCCATTCTTGGGTCCCCTCATACCTATGATCTAGATTAAAGGATGCCATCCTGATGAGACTGGGAGCAGCCTCTGAGACGCCATAGAGATCTGAGGGATACTAGACATGAAAATCTGCATTTCATATCACACAGCAACCTTGCCTGCCCCTTATAAAGGCGTTTTCCATATGTATTTTTCTTTAAAATATTACGGGTTTACTTCTTTAAAATATGCACTTTCCCCTCAGAGTGGAAATGACGTTTTACACGGCCTTCAGGGTCTAAACATGATCCAACAGGCAGGTAGTTCTTGTTTCTGTGGGACAGAAGGCCCAGTGCAGACTTCAGCAATACACAAACATCTGCACAGCTGTCAGTTGGCTCCACACAGCCCTGTGTAATTGTTTTACTGCATTTCTTGGTCTCCTAGGAACTCTAGGCAAGGACTGGGGCCAGGGCACTAGTAGAGCAATTTCAGTCAGTATGAGCTTCAGCAGTTATCACCAGGCACCTGCTGTATGCGGAGTACAGCCCTCCCTTCAGAAGGCTATGAGTATCTCTCTCCAGAGGAGCAGGCACATTCATAAAAACTACAAATCACAACAGCAGATAAATAACCTCAAGTGAAAATTGGATCAATTCCTCAACCCCTTAGGGATGTTGCAGAGGCAGTCAAACCTCCGAATGTCAGGCAGTCTTAAAGAGATGCTCACTGGATTTGGGCTAAGTCTGCTGAGTGTCTTACTCTGAGGATAAGCAGTGCTGGAGCCGTCTCCCTCTTCTGGGTTGGGATTAGGTCTGACTTTCTTGAAGGTTTGATGGTTTGATCTGGCTTTCTTAGGGTTCAGTGTTGGGGTCTGGGTTTTCCCTTTCTGGATTGTAAGAACAAGGACACTGACAATACCCTGTGTGAGGAGGTTGGATGTGGGGAAGATGCCTAGGTCTCAGTCATTCTAGAAACAGTATGATGTATGCGGGGGCTGGGGACATTGGTAAAGCGCTTGCCACATAGGTAGGAGGACTTGAGAGTGCGATCCTCAGAAGCCGCATTGAGTGGGGGCCATGGTGACACACACCTGTCATACCAGTGCTGTGAGGTGGGCGCAGGCGAGCCTTTGAGGCTGCCATACCCAATGAGAGACCCTGCCTCAGAAAATAAGAGGGAAAGATCCAGAGGAATGACATCATGGGTGACCTATGACCTGTACATGCACATGCACACACACAAACACACATGCACCCCTACCCAATAAATATAATTTAAAACGTTACAAAGAAAGAAGTCACAAATCCCCAGGAATCCCTGCATCTTTCATCAAGATTTCCCTCCCCGACTCCAAAGCGGTCTGGAAGCCATGGCCATGTCATATCTCTCTCAGGCCCACACAGGCTTCCTCACTGGCAGCTGTGCACTCCCAGACTTTGAACTAGAGAGAGACCCACAGGGGAGCATGCAGTAATTACAGCACACTCTTTTAATACGATCTCAAACGCAAGATTTTAATTTGCTATTTGCTTCTAAGTCAGGATAAATGCCCAAGCTTAAATAAATGAATCCCAATGTCCACCCCAAATTGGCGATACACCACTTAGAATCGAATGTGATTACACTTTGGGAGCACTGCCCTGGTGTACTGGCAACATGTCTCCAAATGGGTGTCAGAAAGCCATATTTTATCATTACTGCGAAAAATTGCTATTTGGAAGCCCATTTTAGTTAACTCTGTGCCATTCTTTTAGACTAGGGGCCATTTTGGTGAAAAATGAATGAATTACATGTAGAAACCCCAAGTTAGTATCAAAGATTGGCTGTAAAAATGCATTTTTTTCATTTGTCCAAAAATGGTTATAAATTTCTCTTGCTTCCTCCTTTTTTCCTTCCTTCTCATTTTCTCTGCCTCTCTCTGTCTCTCTCCTTCCCTCTCCTCTCTGGTGGCTTGTATTGTGCAGCACACTTCTCTTCTATTTACTTAGTGGCTAGCTAGCATTAGTTGGCTAATACCTACACAGACAATGGGTATTTTCCTCTTTACTTTCCATCCCCAGCTTGCATCCCATTAACATACAGTGCGTTTATCTGGATCCACCCTCAACAACTCCTTCTTATTTGATTATGAGATACCACCATGCAAGTGCTTCAAGCCCTAGGGAGATACACTTAATAAATATTTATTGACTGTTCCATGCTCACGGGACTCCAAGGCAGCCAACTCAATGTCCTACTAGTTTACACATTAATCACCAGACTGCCAGAGTCAGGGGTCCAGAGCCTG